ATCCTGGACTGCATGCACAGTGGCAGGAAGGGAATTGGAGTTTGGACAGAAAGAATAGAATCCCAAACTCATTTCTGTCAATTTTAGGTTGAGGGGAATCTTGGCCAAGTTCCCACGATTTTGTTATTGTTAGGTGCTGCCCAGTCAGTTCTGATTCTCTGTGATCGTACGTCGAACACAAGGAAACGCCTCCCAGTCTCGCAGCATCCTCACAACGGTTCTCATGTCACTGCGTTATATCTCATTGAGGAGGGCCTTCTACTTTTTTGCTTCCTCATTACTTTACCGAGCATATCTTTAGGAGAGGAGGTAAAATCAGCGACCCCACAGGGAGGCTGTGAAGATGAAAAATGACTCAGAAGTGCAAATGTGGGATCATGAAGAGATTTCAACAAAATAAGCACACTGCTTTTGAGGTGCTTCTGACTCATAGTGACCCAATAGGACAGAGTAGAACCATCCCAAAGGGTTTCCATAGTTTCCACACCTTTCTTTCATTCAGGGCTGGTGGGTTCAGCCAGCCACTCTTCCACTTAACAGCCCACCACTTAACACATGGCACCAGAGAGAAAAACTCCTTCCAAGATAATATGTTCTTAAAAATGGTGGTGCCCACTATTGACACTATTAGCTCCGCTCTCTCTCCACTTCAGTCAAGAATGCTGAGTAGATTCCCCGCCCAATAACATCTCCACCATGACCACAGCTTTGTTGAACAACCTGCATGGGCTTCTTGCTGCAGTGTCAGCTCAGTGTTGAGGATGATGACCACATGTGGGAGCTCATTCCATCCCCAGAAAGACCTAAAGATTTAGGATGGCTATCCTTGTTTAAAGATGAAAAAGTCCCTCCTACATAGAGGCTCAGAGAGATACTGCAATTCTCCCAAGGTCACACAGCTGAGAAGGGACTCATCTTGTGGGGTGACTAGACTAGTAATGGACTTCAAGACCCAGCTCATTCCTCCTCCTTAGGCAAGAAGAGGCATCACGAAGAGTGGAAAGAAGCCTGGGTTCAAGTCTCGCCTCTGTGCCACTCCTTGTCCATTGTGCCACCCAGTCTTCCTGTGCTTCAGTTTCCCCATCAGTAAAATGGAGGCATGTGTTAGTCTGTGTAGATAGAGAAACAAAATTCATAGACACTCATATGTGTATAAGAAAGAGTTTTATATCAAAGGGCAATTGTGTCTTGAGAACACTTCCTCGCCCAGTCCAGATCAAGTCCATAAGTCCAATATTACCCCATATGTCAATACTAGTCCATAAATTCCTCTTTAGACTCATGTAGCCATGCAATGACGCCAAATGCAGGAAGATCACAGGCTGGTGGGTGGAATGTCTTGTGGATCTAGTGGTGGTAGAAGTATCTCTGCACTGTCGTGGGTCTCCACAAGGTTCCTCTAGCTCCACGGCTCTGGCTACCATCAGCCTATCTCCATGTGGCTTGTCAACAAGAATGTCTCACAGGGAGTGTGCCAGTGCCCTGCCTCCAGTGAGCTATTTATCTCCTTAGCACCTCCAAATGCGGTCATGAAGCTGGGACCTGACTGACAGGTTAAACGCCACCCTTTCGTTTTTAATACTCTCAAATTGACAACAGATTATGTAACTACCACAAGGCAGTAGCAGCTGCTCGATCAGGTTGGTGGGAAGAGGAAACACACTAGAGACACGGCCTGAGACAGTGTCAGGACCAAGTACACAGTGAGTATCATGTATTCATCAGTACCATGGACACAATGAGCACCTCACACTTAGTCTGGGCTATGTACACGTAAGTCCAATGTTAGTGTACCTGCTATCACCACAGCAGCATCCCCTAACCTGTCTCTTCTCTAAAGGCACAGAGAACCAATCATCTTTGCCTCCCTTCTTGGTCTTTCACCCATCCTAATGTGCATTTTCCGCCCCTGGTTATCTAAGAGCTAACCGGGAGCTCAGCAGACTCACATATGCATCGATGTCACTGTCTTATAGTTGGTCTCCTTGTTTGCACATAGTAAGACCTCAAAATCACAATTGAACTTCGAATTGGAAATGCGTTTGTCTCGAGGGGAATCTTCTTTTGGCACCTTCTTTATTGTCATGCGTTTGTGCCTGTGCTTGCGTGTGTTCTTTCTATAATGGACACATCTGGGTAGCTTCATCAGGCCTGTTTGCAAACCTCGGCCCTGTTCTGCTGGAGTCCAGTCGACTGAGTGCAAAGAAACCTCCTCATGCTTTCTCACTGCCTCAAGTCCACGCTGACTCATAGCGACCCCGTGGGTTTCTGAGTTGGTAACTGTTTATCGGAGTAGAAAGCCCCGTCTTTTCCCTGAGGAGCTGCTGGTACTTTTGAAGACCATTCGAATCACAGTCTAACTCTTAACCACTATACCACCAGGGATCCTCGAAGATACAAACCACAGCTGCCAACCTTCGTGGGACTGCACAGCTGACGAAAGCCAGCCACTACTTGTCTCGGTGTCACCTGGGGAGGGGAGCTGTCTTCCCAAGACTTGTAGAACAATACCACAGCTGAGTACCTCCTAATGCCTTCATTCTTGCTTTCCCAGCTCTTCAAGAAGGCAGCTGTCCCAAGCACAGCCCAGAATGCCTCCCGCTCTATATTAAGCGAAGGCCTATGATGCCATCTTCCCCGGATATGAAGTCAGCTCATAAGTCAAATGAACAACACCCATTATCTACATCCACTCCCCCCCACAAAAGGCCCTTGTCACTCAGCTCTCATTCACTGCCATCCAGTCCATGCTGACTCATTGTGACCCTATAGGACAGAGAACAACTGCCACTGTGGGTTTCTGAGACTAAGTCTCCACTGGAGCAGAAAGTATGATTGTTCAGCCCAAGTCATAATGTACTACCCCACTAGGGTTTCCTTAAGTGCCTGCCAGGGCCTGCCATATTGTTCCCTGGTTTCTAAGAGATCCTCTGTCTATACATCCCAGCTATTTTGTTGCTTTGTGGCCTTCCTATCGTTTATCTCCTGAGCTGGTGGGAAGCTGTGAAATGGGCTGACCATGGTTAAGCAAGAGAAAAGTCTGTCTTTGTGCCGCCCCTGTGTCTCCACACTAGTAGGGATACAAGGATGTCCTCCATCCTTCTCAACATCTCTGATCTGCTGTGGATTCCTTTTCAGCCTGCTATCCGCCTGGCTTCTGGAATTCTCTGATATGCAGAGGAAGTGTTACATTGGTTCAGTCCAAGGATCGAAAATAGATTCTATCCCAATACCACCTATAAATGATCTGAGAGAGTAGCTTCCAAAACTACAGCCTTGGAAACTATACTCAAGCAGGTTGAACAACACTATCTGTTACCCCCATGGTGGCCGAGTGGAGATCACCCATACCCCTTGTTTGCTGTCCTAGACTGCAGATTGAGAAGTTGATGATTGCCCGGGGGTCTGGCAAGGGATGGTAGATGAAATGGGGAGTCAACATCAATGCAAACAAGAAGGAAGATAAGTTTCCAAAGTTGATTGTGATGATGATTGCACAGTCTTTCTTGATACGATGGGGCTATTGAATTGTAGGCTATGTTAATTATACCTCAATAAAATCAAAACGTCAAAAAGAAGTTCCATGATTCTCTGCAGGGCCTACAATAGCACTGGCAAGAAAGCAGTGCTCATCTTGCCAATTGGGCAATCAGCTGCCAACTGTGGAGCCAAGGCTCAGTCTACCACCCACAGCCAATGAGCCAGTGGAGCTGGGCTGTGGGGAGTGTGGCAAAGGGGACAGGCAGTGAGGACCATGGGCTTTGGAAAATAGGCAGAGAGTAGACCAGCAGGTGGTTTGGTTCACAAAGCTGGGGACACACATGATTATTGTGAGGATTCTGCCCTGGTCTTACGGCATCTGTTCTTGACTCTAATGAAGAGGCTGTGTTGGCTCTGAGAGCCTCGGTAGAAGGGTCTTGCTGCTATGCTCTGGAAGCCTGGTGGCAGCTTGCGGTGCTCATAAAGGGTTTGTCCAGAGAAGTATGTCCCAGCGCATAGCTGAGCCCCAGTGCAGTGTGCAAGGGCTAGCCTGCAGTACAACTCTAATAGGACATTGTAGGTTGGCCTCCAGTATCGACCCCCCCTTCCCAATTTCCCTTGAGTCACTCACCTTCGATAATCCCAGTCCATATTTTTAGCTGGGACTGACTTACTCCCCTGGCTTCCAGAAAAGGCAGGTGACTCAGCCAATCAAAGCGCCTCAGGTCACTGAAGGCTGTTGGGTGCAAAGTTGGGCACCTGACTGGTTAAAGCCAATGAGATTCGATGTAAAGCTCTTGCAGGTATTGGGGGAAGGGAAGCTGTATCAGGAGACTTGACTAGGACCTGGAGTGGAGCCTCTGCCTTGGGGTGCAGGAGGCCAAGGAGTGGGTGTCGGACAATGAAGCCAGCATGGGGGAATGGACCCATGATTCAGAACTGAATTCTGGACCTGAACTCACCCCCATCGTTTAGATTTCAACCAAATGACTGGTGAGCTATACCATAGGAGATCAGAGGAGAAATCAGCCACAGGAGATCAAAAGAGCAGCATGTGCCCCACAATAAAGCTCAGAAGGCAAGGAGGGCTAGGAAAGGACAACTTAAAATAGTAAACACAAGGAGGAAGCCAGAAGAGTGCTGTCATATGGAGGGTATTACAACCAATGTCATACAGCAAAACATGCATGAATGGTTGAATGGAAAACCAGTTTTCTCTGTGAACATTCACCCACAACACACAAAAAGTTAAAAAACAAAACAACCAAAATAAAGGCCCAGATGCCAATACATAATTTTTTCTGCAGGCAGAACCACCTCTGAAATATTTTCTTGCACCATGAGCTAATACAGTCCCACCCACCCCCTACAACTGCCCCTTTTTCAGTGTAAATAGCTGGACTTTGCAACAACCAAAGAAACCTGGTCAATGTAAGCAGCCAAAGACCCATTTCCCACATACCACAGGCAGACCCCAGTGGTCCTGCTGGGACCCAGCTTATCCCAAGCAGCTGCATTACCTGCAAGGAGTCCTGGATGTCCTGGCCCCCGACAATCACGAGTTCTGCCATGTCTTCCGCATGAGGTGTCCTCGCATGGACAAACAGGGTCCTGCCCACAGCAGTGACATTCCTCAGGGCAAACAGGGCACCATCCGTGTTCACCTTGAAGTACGGGCTTGAGACCTCATAGCGCAGCTTGTCATTCCCCTTGCAGTCGCTGAAGGTCACTGCAAACAGAGTGGGGAGAGTGTGAGTAGGGTGAGCAGCCCAGGCCTTGACGTGGACCACCACCACCCGAGGAACCCACAGACCAGTGGTTCTCAACCTTCCTAATGCCACGACCCTTCAATACAGTTCCTCATGTTGTGGTGACCCCCCCCCAACCATAAAATTATTTCCGTTGCTACTTCATCACTGTAATTTTGCTACTGTTATGAATCAGGCACTCCCTGTGAAAGGTCATTCGACCCCCAAAGGGGTTGTGACCCACAGGTTGAGAACTGCTGCCATGGACACTGCCCCCTTTTCCCTAGGAACTCCCTTCTCCTGTCATGGCCTTGTTCATGTGGAAAACTCAATCAAGACAGACCCTCTCATTCCGTCCCATGTTCTAAGCAGGCAGTAAGCATAGAGGATTCAGAGATGAACAAGAGACAGCCCGGGCCATGGGCACCATCGGTGAAATGAACAGTCAGATATGGCAGTGCTGTGTGCAGAGCGTGATCCTATCCTGGCTCCCATCCTGTATGAGTAGTTACGGGAGAACCAAGGGCTGTTTAGGAGCATGATGAGCGGATGTTTGCCTGGGACTTGGAGATGAGCATGAGATGAGAAGGCTCACAGAGGGGAAGAAGATTCTAAAGTGGAAGGAACTGTGGGCACAAGGCATGAGGGTGTGGTTAAAGAAATAGATTCCAGGAAAGACAATTAACTTGATGCGCTTGGGTCACAGGCATAGCTGAGCTCTCCAGGGAAGGGGAAGGAGAAGCCGAAAATGAAGCTAAGGTATCCTCTGAAGATAAGGAAATCCCTTCCACAGAGAACTTCCCCAGAGCCTTGGCCCTTTTTGTGTGTGTTTAGAGAAGTCCAGATAGATCGGGTTTCTGGTTAATTCCAGTGCACATCTGTGCATCTCAAAGATTAGGATGGATCAGAATCTCATATGGAGCTTTGGAAAAATCCAGAGGACCAAGCCTAAGCTCAAAGATGACAATCCAGGGGTTCTTCATTATAGCATGTAGTTTGGATAAGGGCAGGAAGAGATGTCAACAAAGCCAGTCAGAGTGTGTGTGTGTGTGTGTGTATGTGTTGTGTTGTGTGTGTGAGAGAGAGACAGAGACACAAGCACAGAGAGAAAGAAAGAGTTTTGCAAAGTTGATGCTTGGTGGTATTGACGATGCGGGCATTGTGGCTAGATTTGAGCAAAGTGCATGCCACTGAACCATTAGACCTTGAGTAGGAAAAACAGACAAAGAAGCCAAGACAAGACAAGGAGCCCCAGGCATTGTCACACACAGTGGCAGGGCAGCTGGTCAGGGTCCCTCTGACCTGATGACTCCTGACATGGTTCACTTGTCCATCATCATAGGCTTCATCACCTGTGTGCGTGCTGCTTTCCAGGCCCCAACACATACCATTGTACCACTAGCTTTTTGTGTTTGCTTTCTTAGCTTTTTTTTGGAGATGTTCGTTTTCAGTAAACTTATCACAGAGGCATAACAAAGAGATGGAAAAGTGTACTCTGAGAGTGCACAAAGTGATGCATTTGCGACTACAGCATACCACATACCCGGCACTTAGGAAGCCCAACCCCTCACAAGCAATGTTCCACCACTCTTACCCACTAGACAGCCCTCACGTCCTTCTGTAGATGGGATTCCTACCCTCTACCCCAGAAATGACCACTGACACCAAAGACTAGTCTTGCCTGACTTAAATATCATGTAAGCCGATGCCATGTTGAGTCCGGAGACTTCTGCTCCATATTGTGTTTTGAGATTCATCCATGTCGCTACAAGCTGTGGCTGCTTGCCCATCTGATTACATAGTATTCTACCAGGTCTCTACACCGTGTCCATTTATCCACGGCCCATGGACACCTGGGCTACTCCCATTTATGGGCTCTTGAAACACTCTTGGGGCACCTTCTGGAGGAGGCCTGCTTGCTTCTATCCCAGTAGCTCAGAGGTCCTAGCGTAGAGTGAGAGTCATAATAATAGCTGAGAAACTAAACTGAGCTCTCTAGCAGGAAAGACAAAGCTTACAGTGATGATGATCACATTCAAATACAGTAATAGCAATAACGGCTGATGTTGATGGAACATTTGCCACATGTGAGGCTCAGGTGTGTACAGTTTTAAGATGTTACCATATTTAATCCTCACTATAACCCCATCAATGGGGTATTAGTTGCCCCCCCTCAACATTTCAAAATAACCCAAAAACTCACTGTCATGGAGTCGATTCCAACTCAGAG